TTTTTTTTGTAATATCTACTGATCAGTATTTGTAGCTTAAAAAGGATATGTAAGATAAATTCTTCTGCAAGATGTCTGACATTATACTGTTATATAGAGCAGAGAAGAAAGTAAAAGATGAGATTTATTCTTGACGTTATTATACAACAGGCAGCGGAGCAAGCGGAGAAGCATAACGACTTCTTATCTTCCCTTTGTTTAATAAAGATAATTTAAGACATTAACGGTTGTTTGTGATTATGATTAATATCCTAAAGGCCATCTTATAATATTAATATGTATATATATAAGCTTTTAATTGAAAAGAATGAATAAAATACAAAAGAAAAAAGTATACAAAAAATAATAGCTATTCTTGTTCTTTGATAAATATATAATACATGTATATATATATATATATTATTGATTGTCTTCATAATCGTTATTATTTGTTGATTCTATTTTTGGTTGCATAACAAGTTGACCAGCTACATTCGGTACTTTAATAATCATAACTTTAGTTGATGGTTGTTTACTAACAACTTTTATTAATGGTTGTGCAGTAATAACTTTAGTTGTTGGTATTGGTACACGTCTTACAACAACCGTTTCAGTTATATTTGGTTTTGAATTAGTTACAATTTCACTTTGAGTTTTTTGTGCTTGTGAATGAGTTACTGGACGATCATAAGCGGTAAATGTATTTCTATTTCTTTTTGCTTTCTCATCATCATTATCATCATTATTTGGAAAACTAATTAAATCTTGTCGTGGTGTTTGTAATATCGGTTGATTTTGTTTTGGATAACTTGTTCCTATACATACATTAACATATAGTTAGATATAAACAACAATACTGATTGAGTAGTTTAGTAAAACTATACTATCAACTTTGCATTAACATCGTATTAATGTCTACTACTATAAAATCAATATTTTACACATGCATCTGTACGGTTTTAATATAGTTGAAGCCCCTTTGTAATACTTTATATTAGAATAATCTTATACTCATTTTTGTAACAAATCTAATCTATGAAGCAGAGTAGGAAACGTGAAATATTAAATCATAGTTACTAGTTGTTGATTGTGGAGGTTGAATTACTGAAGGTGTCCTTGAATCTAAAACTGATTCACGTAGATCTATATCAGTTAATGAATACATAACAGGTTGTGAAATATTGGTTTCATTTATTGATGAAGTTTGATAAGTATTTAGATTACTTTGTGTTCCATAGTTATTATTTTGAACTGAATAATTATTATTTCGAATAGGTTTATTATCCACATTTTTCGCATACATTTCACTATTATTATTATTATCAAGATTTTCGATATTTAATTGATTATCTTTACCACCATTTTTACGAGAATCACTTGAATAAAAGAAATTTTTTTCTTTTTTTTGTCGCCATGGTCTTTTATGTTTTAATTTCCATAAAGTTACTATAATTAATATAATAGCAATGATACATATAACAGCACCAAGTATAATACCACCAATTTTCCATCCTTGACTACCTGTACTGCTATCTATATTTTTAAAATAATTAATTTTTCATATTTCAAATACAAAAATAATAACATACTAAAATAAATTATACAAAGAGCTATTCCACCTAAAGAATAAACAAAAAACAAGAAAATAAATCAATATACAATAATTCTTGAAACAAACCTGCTCCTATTAAAAAACAAATAACCAGTAAAATAATAAGAAATACAACACAACATTTCTCACGTCCACTTGCAGCTTGTCTTTCTTTTGATGGATCACTTTTAACTACCTGTTTATTTTGCCTTAGTCTATCTGATGTTTGAGGATTGTTTAACTATAAAACATGATAATATTTATTTTGAAATAATCTTTAAATTGTATACATACATCAAAATTTCCCGATGAATTTGTATACAATTCCGAAGTCATTTTTGTCTACCACCCTTTTAGTACTAACTGTGACAATTTGTTTTTTTTTATATATGTACATGAAAAAATTAATACTTTTATAAAATTCGCCTTCTTTTTTTCCATTCTCTTTTTACCGCTGCAATATTTGTAAAAGATGTTTACGAACGTCTGCGTATGGCTTTACGCTTTACAAAAAAAACATACTCATCATTCTTTAAAACACTATTGTTATTTTTTAATATAGAACATAAAAAAAAGTATACATTTTTTTATAAACTAAACATTTAACATCAAAAGCAAAAATAAGATGAAATTAGTAAAAGATTGTTGATTCGAGTTCATTATTGTTCGATATTTATTCAAAGACAAAATTATTATAAAAGTGCATCAAATTCTTTAAATATCACAGACACACGTAATCTGTAAAATAAATACATATATTTAAGAAAATGATATCTTACTATGGTCTTATGTATAATTACTGTTTGTTTTGTTCGATGAGAATATTAATGATTTAAATTCTTGTGTGATTGTATAAGAATTTATTACACTTCTGTAAATATTTCTATGAATATAAATAAATAATATTTGATATTATGTATCTCTAAATCATTGTAAAAAATATATAATACATATGAAAATGAATATTTCATTATATTTGATATTACTGTAATTTATTCATTTAGTATAAATCACATTAAATTGAATAATAAACAAAAATATTTTATTTGATTGAAAGAAAATAATTAATTTAGACTCAATATCTCAAAAACAAAAGAAATAAGACCAATGAAATGAAAAATTAATATTTTTTTAAACATATCGATTGAATAAAAGTAATGTTAAAGCACCGAACAGTATAGTGATTGTTGATTTCGATGTAATAGTTCCTGTATTACAAAGATTGCTCCAACAACAGCAAGTATATATACCTGGAGATGTATATCTACATCCGGATCCACCATTACAAAGACCAGGTTCTGCAGGTCCTCGACTAGCTCTATCGCCAGGAATTGCAGTTGCGCTTTTTTTCTAAATTATAATCTATAAAATCAAAATATATTTTGATCAACAAACTTACAGCACAATATCCAGTAGACGAGTATGCTGTTCGCACATATGGTTTACCTGAATGGAATGGAAAAGGACAGGCGTTTGCGGGTGTGTCTCCACAAAAATAACATTCAAGACTATTAGCAGTACCTACAATTGACACATTTTATTCAAAAAATACATAACATATAAATCTCTTACCAACACAAACTATCAATAATGCAAGTAATACGACTGTATTATTCATCGTGTCGTTAAATTTAAAAAATAAATTTCGATATTACTCAAATAGCTAGTCTTTACAGCTGACAATTTGATAATGTTTTTTTTTTTCTTGAGAATATATATATCGTTTACTACACTCAGTGCATTGCATCAGAGTATGTAGAGGCAGTTGATATGATAACATGGACTGCTATCTTTTTTTTGCGCATATTCAAAAGAAAAAATCGTATATATTCGGTGGTGACAGAGTTAACTGAGGCGTATTTTGTTTATCAAGTTATACTATAGTAGAGATTTAAAAAAAGAAGAGTCTTTTTCTTGTTCTTATCAAGATATATTTTTAACTAAATTTTACTCTTTAATACAACAATCTTAATTGTATTTTTTTTTGAAAGAATTCATATAATAATAAGTTATGTTTATACTTCAATCAAAAGTAGAAATTAATATACGAAAGATCTTCATTTACGTATACAAATAAATATTTTTCTAATAAGAAATTCATAATTTACATCTAATTTTATCAAATCTTGATATATAATATCTAAAGATGAATATCATAAGAAATGTTTTCTTTTATTCAATTATAAATAAATATCATTATTCTACAAGAAAACTATGTGCAGATAAATTAATTAAAGTGAATATATTGTATGCGCATTATTCTTATTGAAAAACATCATCAAAATCTTACATATTTTATAAGTTTATAAGTACTACATAGCACTCTAATAAAAACCCTCTAAAGATTTCATAATATATTCGCTTTAAAAGTTTCAAATTAACGAAATAGTTTTTATACATGAAATACTTCATACTGATTTTGCTGGAGAAAATGAAATTCCACCAATCAATTTGTCTTATGGAGTCAAAAATAAAAAGAAGCATAACTTTTGAAGAAAGCAGTTGCAGCTGAAATATTTCTAGGGTTTTTTATTAGCGCAATATGTAGCACTTATAGACAAAAAAAACATAGAAATCTGAGAGGGACATTTGAAATGGTTCCCTCGTTAGCGAAAATATTTTATTCTATAGATTCTGAAAAGAATAATATCAATGACGTCTTTCGAACAAAACATCTAATATCGACTCCATATGATCAAGATAATTTTTTAAGGCAGCAGCTGTTTCTCTTGTTGTGATACATTATTGTTTCATTTTCGCTTTTATTTTTCATGCACAGATCGGTGTGGGCTGATGAAGAAAAAAAAACCGATTAACTCGTAATATGAATAGAAAGTACAAACAAAAAAAAATATAGATGACAAAAAGATAGAATTATATAGATATATTGCCTATTTAATCATTCTCTCAGAATATTTTACATTCAGTCCTAATTTTTCATCCTTTCCTACAATTTAACTTCTAAATTATTACAAATAATTCAATTTTTCCTCTACTTGAACAATTAACAACAAATCCCTAGGTAAGAATTTAAACATATAATACATCGAACTAAAATCTCTAAATAAAAATATGAAATAAGAAGAGAAAAGAGAAGCTATGTATAAGCAACAGATGGGCTATACATTAAATGCATGACGATATAAACGCATATTTATACTTCGTAAAAAAGTATATATTTATTTTATTTTTTATAAAAATTTAGTTATCAACTATTTTGTATATATATAATAATTATTATAAAATAAAACAAATACAATCATGGCTCATAATGAACAGGATGATGATGTTGGTGGTAATATGCAACATTTAATAGCAGCTAAAGCTGAAGAATTATTTAATCTATGTGATACGGAACAAAAAGGATTTATTATAAAAAAAGATATGCAACGTTTAAGAGAAGAGCTTGGTGTTGAACCTGAACAACTTGAAGATGTTTTTGATTCATTAGATAATGATCATAATGGTTATCTTACTTTAGAAGAATTTACATGTAAATAAATCATTGTTTTTTTCTTCTATTTATTTATTATTTTATATGTTGTTTTGTAGCTGGTTTTGGTATGTTTCTTGGTGATCAAATGGGTGGTGGACATGTAGATGATCATGAAATGATTGGACATGATCCAAATCATGGAGAAGAACAACAATTATTTCATGATACATTAGAATCATTAGGTGCAAAAGATTTATATGATGATGAAGAAACAATAATGGGTTTATGGATGAAATTACGTGAAAATGATCCAACTTTATTAAGACAATTCGAACAATTTATTGGTAAAATAACTGAAGAAATTCGTCGTTCAAAATTAGATCATAGAAGTATTGAAGCAGCTTTACAAAGTAAATCATCGGTACATGAATCTGAAATAAAAAAATTATATGATGAAATGGAACAACAAATAAAAGCTGAAAAATCGAAAGTTCTTGCACAAGTAAATAGATTTTATTATAATGAAATCAAAAACAATTCTTTATTTTACTAGGAAAAATTAAAAGAACGTGAGCTTCGAGAGCAAATGGAACGTGAATTACATATAAAAGAACAACACTTGTTAGAAGTAACAAAAAAACAAAGTGATTTAGAATTGAAATTACTTAAAGTTAATTTAAATGAAAACGAAACAAAAAGTGAAAATGATCGTTTACAAAAAGTTTGTTTTTTTATTTTATTATGAATTTCAAATCGATTTCTTCTTTTGTTTTTTTTTTTCTCAAAGGAAAAAAATCTACTTGAAGAACAATTACAAGAAATTACAAGAAGTCTGGAAGAATCGAAAAATTACATATCACAATTACAAATTCAAACAAAAAAAGAAAAACGAGATAGAGCAAAGTAGAGAATATTTAATTGAAGAATTTTAATTTAAAATTTATTTTAGACAAGCTTTAACTTTAACAGAAAGTATTGCTCTTGAACGGGAAAATCTTGTTAAACAACTTGATTCACTTAAGTAAGAGAAATTAATAATTATTATTTAAAAGACATAACAAAATTTTCTTAGGACTATTAATAAACGATTAGTTGATGAGCATGATCTTCATCTTGGCTCTAAAGTAAGTTGTTTACTATTTATTCGAACTGTAAATCTCTAATAATGACTTCGAGGATTTCACCAGAATATGTTTGTAGAATGAAAAAAATTATTAAAGCAATTAGACCATTGCCAAATCAGTGTTTTATCTAGCGGGTGGGCTAAGTGGGCGGCGCCCATTCGAAATACGAGACTTAGACAAAATACTGTTAGGCGGCGCCCACCCAGAATTTTCATTTCGTTCGTCCGACAATTTGATTCGCACACTTTGATGTATAAGGAGAAAACTATATTGAATATAAAAATTCCGAAATATATGTAAATATTTTTAGAAACAAGACCAGCCTGCATCTCCATCTCATGCATCGAAAAGACCAATGCGAAAACAAGGTTCTATTCTCTCCGATTATTTCAATCCACCAAATCTGTATGTCTAATATTTCAATAATTTATATTGTTCAAATATTGACTCTTATCTTTATTAATAGTGAACCAGAAGAAGATGATGATGGAATACCTTCAGCACATAATAATGAAAATGATATTGATACATCACGACATAGAAAACGTCGTTCCAGGTACTATTTCATTCTATAATCCGTATTCTATCTAATCGCTAAATACTTGACTATCTTAAACGAGCTTATTTATGTTTAGAGCTCATGAATTAGGTACACGTGAACAACCCGTTGGTGCTAATTCCGTTTTTCAACATACAGAATTAATGGTAAAAATTCTATTTCTATTCTTTATTGTTTCTGAAAAATATTTCATTTAGACTGTTGCACACAATGCAGTACCTGATCGAATGTTTAAAGTTGCATTTATTGGTTTGTAAAATAAGTCGAAATGAATATCGGAAAATAATTATATCGGTTTTTTTTTAGGCGATAGTGGTGTAGGAAAAACAAGTTTTATTCAACGATTTTGTACTGATAGTTTTAAAGATTCATTTGCAGCAACAATTGGTGTTGATCTTCAAGTGAAAATGCTTAATATTGATAATCGTGTTATTGCATTACAACTATGGGATACAGTAAGAAAAATAATCAAATACATTTTCAATTTTTTTTCCTTTTATTTTTAGGCTGGTCAAGAAAGGTTTGTGTTAATATTTCAATATTTTATAGTAGATTTATTTCCTAATTAGATTTCGAAGTATAACAAAACAATATTTTCGTAAATCTGATGGTGTTATTCTTGTTTATGATGTAACATCGGAAACAACATTTCGAAATGTTCGAGCTTGGATGACAAGTGTTCGAGTATATTAAATTATAAGAAATACAAAAAGGTTTTTTTTTTATGATGATTATTTTATCTTAAGGAATCAGCAGAAGATGATTGTATTGTTGCACTTGTTGGAAATAAAACAGATTTATGTGGTGATGATGATAAACGACCAGTAAAATATAAAGATGGAGCAAAATTAGCTGATGTAAAATTTTTCCTTTTTTTTTTATTTAAAAAATATTTTTTTTTGTATTTAGGAATATGGATGTTTATTTTTTGAAAGTAGTGCACGATTAGGTTCATCAATTGTTGAGATAATGGAAACAATTGCTCGGTAAATATTTTTCTAAAGATATATTTATCCTTACATATATATTATTTATATATATATAGATTAATGCAAGAGAAAGATGATAAACAACGTAAAGGTGAAAATATAGTTGATATATCATCAAAGAAGAAAAAATTTGGTTGCTGCTAGTCAGTATACATATATATTTCTATTATCTTCTTTGTATATGAAACAAATACTGCAGCGCAGTTTTTATTATTTCTTTTTTTTTTTGTTGTTCAATTTTTCTCCCATCTTTTCTTTTTTTCATGTTTATGTACTTTTATTTTTGATGATAAGGTGTTGGGCATATTGGGATCTCTTAAAATGCATGTAAAAAACTAAAGAAGAAAGAAATTGATTGATCTATTAATAATAATCATAAATTAATAAATAAAAAAACACGGAAACTAATAAAATCATATACGAAATATATCTATATTAGATTAGCTATTGAATAGACATGCACATCATATAAATGAATCAGTTCTCTTCCTAGGAAAAAACAAGAATAAAAACGGATATGATATAGTAATATATTATATGATAATTTGTTAATCATCTATATATTCTTATTCTTTGATGAGAAAGCGAAGAGCAAACGAAATCAGTATCTATTTTTGTTAGGATATATATATACATGCCGCACAGCATAAGGTTATATTAATTGCACGACTAACGATTACATTTATTCTACCGATAAACACTCTCATGATGCTTTCGGCAATCATTTTTATCGGAAACTTTTTTTTTCTCTCAATATTCTTTATATGTTGTCTATCGATCATTTGTCATTTTCATATAGATACAAAGACATAATCTTATTTCAAAACAATACAGATAGACATCTGTAGAGAAAAAAAACATCTGTTGACGATATGTAAGTGTTAATTTATAAGACTTTTTAATTTGTATATATATTTATATGTATGTATGTATAATAGATGAAAAATCTCAGAATGATTTATTATTTTATGATTTTATTTTATATTATTATGTCAATTTATTGTCAACAGATAGATGAAATTGTTGAATGTAATAGCAAACATTTAGATCAATATCAATTAGATACAATGAATCTTACTGAACAAGAAGAACTTGTAACTAAATTTTTATTTTTAGAAGAGAAAAACAAGATAATATCGAGTAGAGTTTTTTTTAATATATTTACCATTAGTTAAGTATTAGAGTTTCTATTCTCATAGAAAAAAATATTATTCTCAAGTTTAAGATATATATATATATATATTCAACGATTTTATTAAGTTAATCATTAGAAAATTTTTCTAAGAAAAAAACATCTTATTTCTATTGTAGTTATTATTGAGTGCACTATCTATCAAAAACAATTTTCCGCACTATTAGATATAAAATGATCATTGTAATTTCCTTTTCGCACGTATTGTGACATATGATAATTAAGATATTTTTCGTTTATAATGAACAAAAACAAAAAAGAAGATATATTTTTTCTACAAAATTCTTAGGCTAATACAATTTTAAATGAATATAATAAAAATTTAACAACTCTTGCCTATATAACATCATCAGCTGAATTTGAAGCACATTTATATTTGAATGATACAAACAAAAGACGTACAACGGTAAAAATTAAATAATTCTTGTTTGAAAAAAAAAATCAAATCTTCTGTATCTAGGAAAAATGTTATGAAGCTTATCGAAATTGTTTAAAAACAATTGCTACTGCTGCAAGACAATTTAAAAATTTAATAGAAAATCAAAATTCATCATTATATTGGTTATTAATACGTACACAAGCTATTGGAGATGCGGGAGAAACAGATTTAAATATTAAAATTCAATTACATAAATTAAAAACTCATATTAAAGAAATTTATCATAGAAAATTTATTTGGAATAATACAAAACTCGGAATTGATGGTTTGAATTATTTTTCTAAATCAAATAATAAAATTATTTTTTCTTCTTCAGAAGTTCAAGAAATACTTGGTACACTTAATTCACCTGATGATCTTCTTTCATTATGGAATGCAACTTATGAAGTAGCTGCACCAATGAGAGATTATTATTCAACATTAATTGCTGTACAAAATCAACAGGCCACACAGAATCGTACCTCAGCAGTAACCCATTCTCACATATAATCCTTGAAATGATTTTCTAAGAGAATAAAATTTTTGTAAAAAAAAAAATATTTTTATCATAAAAAATTCCTTTGGAAAAGTCTCATAATTATCCTTATTTTAAAATTCTATTCATCCTACATATTCGTTTTTGTTTTCTTTTTCTGAGGCACAAATGAAAAAAGTGATACACCAGCAAATCTTGAAGAACGTCAGTTAGTTGAACAATTATGGCAAGAATTAAAACCATTACATGAATTATTACATGCTTATATAAGACAAAATATGGCTAAACTTTATCCGGGACATGTTCGAGTTGATGAAGCTATACCAATTCATTTAACAAGTCAATTAATGAAATATTTTTCTTTTTCACAAAACTTAATTTTTATTTTATAGAAGATTTATTTGGTTTAATGATGACATATCTTGAACGTGATATACTACCATTTCCTCATGTAAAAGGCATTGATTTAGGTCCAGCAATGATACGAAAGGTTTGCAAGAGAAGAAGAAAAACAAATATTTTCAATTCTTGTTTAATTCATTTAGAATTTTACTGAACAAGAAATTTTTCAATACGCTGATAAATTTTTTATTTCATTAAATTTAACACGTGTACCAGAAAAATTTTGGAATTTATCTATATTTAAAAAGATTCCTAATCGTCATATGGCTTGTCATCCAACAGCGATTGATTTATATAAATATGATGATGTTCGGTATGTTTAATATAAACTATATAGATTCATTCCATATTATTCTTCGATATTTAGAATTCGTATGTGTACAAGTATAACATCACGTGATTTTTATGTTGTTCATCATGAAATGGGTCATATTCAACATTATCTTCAATATGAAAATTTACCATTTTGGTTTCGTCGATCACCACACGGTGCATTTGGTGAAGGTATTGGTGATGCAATTGCATTAGCAACAATGTCTCCAACACATTTAAAACGAATTGGTTTACTTGAAAATTATACATCATCAAGAGGTTCTTTGTTTTTTGCTATTGATAAAATATCTTGAAAAATTTTATTTTTTTTTATTAGAGGATAATATAAAGTTTTTAATTTCACAAGGTTTAAGTCGACTTTTTTTACCACCGTTTGCATATGCACTTGATATTTGGCGTTGGTCAGTTTTTAATGGTTCAATTCAACCACATGAATATAATAAACGTTATTGGGATCTTATGTAAATGATTCTTTTAATAGTTCAAATAAAAATATTCGTTTTGTTTTCTTTAGATGTCAATATCAAGGTATGAAACCACCAACACATCGTGATGAACGATATTTTGATGCTGGTACTAAACTTCATGTTGCTTCAGATCTATCATATATAAAGTATATAGTAATCAACAATTAGAAATTCAATGGTTATTTTCTTTTTTTTTGTAATTAAGATATTTTCTTGCACATGTTTTTCAATTTCAAATATTTGATATTCTATGTCAAGAAGCTGGTCATCAAGGACCATTACATTTATGTGATTTACATGGTTCAAATGCAGCTGGAAATAAACTTAAGTATATTTTGAATTAGATTTTCTTATTAATATTTATATAAATAATAATGAATATAGAATTTTACTTGGATTGGGTTCATCAAAACCATGGCAAGATATATTAGAAGAATTTGCTGGTGTAAGAACATTTTCAGCTAAATCATGTTTAAAATATTTTCAACCACTTCGTGAATATCTTGAAGAATTAGTTGCTAATGGTCAATTAAATGTTGGATGGAAATGTGAAAATAATCATTGTTCAAAAAGAAATTTTACTCGAATAAATATTTGTTTTATTTTATTTTTAAAATTTCTTATTTCAAAATTTTTCTTTTATTTATAAAGTTTAAGAAAAAGAAAAAAAAACAAAAAAGAATTATTTTATTGTTGTGTTGTTTTGTCTTATAATCTATCTTTAATCACACTACTTTTTTGTATTATAGGTGGAACCATAAATAATAATAAAACCGCATTTTCAATGATTTACACTCTTTTATTTAGGAGTCATCTCATTAAGGACGTTATGACCAGGGGCATATTTAGAGAGGAGGTGCACCCCCCATTGGCCGAAAAATATCTGAAGAAGGGTATTGATAAAGAACCGTGTCACAAGACAAAAAACTATTTTACCGCTAGTGTGCGTCTTCCATGAAAAAATTCCTGGCTGCGCTCTTAGTTCAGGCATACATGAACGTCCAGATGCTTTAGGGTTTTACTTTTTTTTAGTCATCGGAGTTTTCGCAATCTGGACGCCCAAGCGGAAGGGTGGAGACAGTTGTTAGCGTCTCTGATGAATCACTCAACGCTAAACTAAAGATTAAGTTGGTCCTTCTAGTCTAACTGGCTTAGAATATTTGTCCGCATAACAGAAGAGGTGGGTTTGAGTCTCTCGAAGGTCATCTTTTTCTCTATCTCCCTTTCGCTGATGTCTCTTTCATTGCTCTAATACGAAGCTAACAATAGCAAAACGGACACTTCTGAACAGAGTGGAGGGAGTCATAAATGCCATTTTTACTTGGACGTTCTTAGTGGTTGGCTCCTTACTCTTGTAATGATCTCATCGCTATTAAAATAAACGTGACTAGAATTTTGTAAATAAACCTTAGCTGTACTTTCAATATATATATACACATGGGAGTTATAAATGATATACTCCAAAATCTTCTGTCTAATTAGTATGTATCTCTTCAACATACGTCAAACAAAAAGCCAGCATATGCTAACTGCCAGTTATATAATCATTAATATTTGTCTAGCTTTCTATTTATAGATTATTATTTTTTCTTTATTCAGATTATTTATTATAGAAATAGAGTTAGTAAAATCACAGCAAATAATAAAATCAAAGCAAAGTTATGTGAACAAAAAGAAAAGTTTTTTTTTTATTAAAAAATGATTATAAAAAAAACGAATAATTGTAGAAAATATGAAGAACCAATATAGCACTTGAGATTATGTTAATTCTAATCACCTTATAAAATGAACGGTTAAAATTTTGAGCTAAATTTCCCAAAAATATTTTTTGCAGCATCATTTAAAACATTTTCAACTCCCTCAGGTAATTTATCGCCAAGATGTTTTTTTATTTTATCTTGTATTATATCATCTGCTAATAAACGTAATAATTCTGGATAACGATCTTTAATTTCTTTAATAAATTCTTCGGGTGAATTTAATTTTAAATTTGAATTTTTTAATAAATCAACAATTTTACTTATATAAACACGTAATTTACTTAAATAATTACTGCCACATATAACTTTATATAATGGATGTAATGCAGAAAATTTCTCAAGAATTTGTGTACATTCATCAATATGATTTGATAATGGTTGTAAAACTTCATCTTCATTTTTTAATGCAAGTATACCATATGTTAATACTAATTCAATATTTTGCATCATATGTCCAATAGCACCAATTTCTTTCACTGTATTTGTTGCAGATACTTGTACGGCATCCGAACGAGATAAATCAATATTATCAGGATTATTACTTGCTAATAAAGGTTCGCCTGTTGGATCGACAGCAGCAGCAGCATCGGCCTAAATATGTATAATAGAAAAATTAAGAAATAGAAAATTCGAAATGTTACTTGAAGAGCAACTTCTGAACCATGTTTTTGAATTAAATTATCGTCGACTTTATTAGCTGCTTGATAAAAATGTTGAAATGATGTTAATGCTTTTTCTACGACTGGTGCTTTTGTACCAAATTTCGAAATTTTTCGATGTATTTTCGATGTCATTTCCAATGGAGCAAATCGATCATTTGTTGTACGTTTATCACCTAGATACGTATTTTTTTTTCTTATATTTATATATTATAAAGATAAGATTTTTATTACTTTACCTGTAAGTGCTAGTTTACCAAACAGTGAACTTAATTGTTGACCAACTTGATCGATAAGAGATCGAACAGTTTCAGCAATACTTTGTAAATCCATAATATTTGCCATATCAATACGAAAGAATTTACAAAAAACATCAATTATTTGCCCGAGAAAATCTAAAACACGACCAATACCAAGTTCACCTAATTTTTCATCGATAACACGAAGTATTGCATTAAACTAAAGAAATTTTCGATAAGTAATAGATATGTTTATTTGTTTATTTTCTCACCCTTGTAGCTAGCATATTTGCTCCACAACATAATAGACCAATAATACCCATACCACCATGTTCTGTAAGAGCTTCTCTTGCTTCATTTAATTGATTTTCAATAACTTTAAGTATTTCAGGATGTTCAGCAAATATAACACAAGCTAAACCAGATACGGCTTCATATATTTGTATACTTTGTAAGAATGTCTGTACAGTAGCTGGTATTTGTGTAAATCCTGCTTGTTGTACACTAGTATAAAACTGTTGAATCATACCAAAATGTTGTTTCATCGGACGGATATCATCACCAGTAGCAGTATTAGCATCAGTTGAACTTGGTAAATATTCACAAACTTTTTTTGTCCATTCACAAAGTTGAGTTGAATCAGGTCGTTTAATAAATGATGTTTCCGCATTAGGATCTGCTTGAAAACGAGTAATAAACGTTTTTAATTTATCAATATTAGGAGTGTCAGGTGGGTCACCCTCATCAGCATTTTGACGTCCTAAACACGACAGAAGATTCATAGCGCAACTTTGTCCTTCTCTTTATGTTATTGTTGTTCTTGATTCTGTCTATTGATATAGCGTAGGTAGATATAGATGCAAAAGACATTTTTTGATTGGCTGATTGATTCCAAAAACAGAACAAATATTTTTTATTAACTCAGTTGTCGCTTTGAATCACCCACTTATCCTTTAATATTGAATATCATTAGTGTCCATTAATAGTTTCTCTGAAAAGTATATATTACTAATCAAAAAAAATTTTATTTTTGCTTTCAAAATATTTTTCAATAATAAAATACAGCAAATGTTGTAGCAATACATATTAAAAACTGATTAATATAAATTGTTTGTGCATATTTATCCGTTTGAGAATCCCAAAAAGATCGACAAGCCATTTGTATGTTTTCATTATATTCTTGACAAATAAGAATTTGTATAATAAATTTATAACGTTCATAACCAAATGTTTTTAATGAATCTTTAATAATATTTGAAAGATTTTTTGTTAATAAACTACATTGATTTAAATCATATTGTTTATCATGTAAATTTTCATGAAGAATTTCATGCATACGTTTTTTAACATCTTGACAATTAAAAATTTTTTTAGGTAAATTAATATCTTCTTCAGACATTTAGAATAAAAGATTTCGAGAGAGAAAAAAAATGTTTGCTTGTTTTTATTATTTAGCGCTTAAAAAACAAAACGAAATTGATTTGTATAAAAATCAAGAAAAAGATGATTATTTATGATATAGCACAAAATAAATGTAGAAAAAAGGTAAACAAAAACAAAATTTAACTTGAATGTGTATTATAATGACGTGAATATTGTCGTTCAATTGGATCGGCTTTAGTATGCATGGACGGAGCCGTTAATAGAGTAAGACATGAACCAATTGTAGTTAAAAAAATAAATACTATTAAACAACACCGATCAATGACAAGAGCAATAAATCGCCATCCCTCTCTTTCCTATTTAAAGAAAAATTTTCAATATATGTACAAAAATTTTGATATTAAAACAAACTAAATCATCTTGTTGTGCTTCACGTTGTGTTTCACTTATATATCGAATATCTTTTATCGCTTGTTGAATAGTTGGTGGATATTTATCGATTGATATTGTTTTTAAATAACGATTTAATTTATGTAAATTAGTAGTATTACTACTAGTAGTAGTATTATTTAATAAAATTGATTCATCTTCTTCAGTATTTGTAGTTGGTCGTAATATAGCACTAGCGATACGTGGTTTAGACATAAATATAAGTGGTGGAATTATTTCGAAAAACCAACGTTTTACCCATGCAGGCATATGATGTGTATTTGGATGACGCCAATGAATATTTAATGTTATTATAGTTATAAATATAGAAGCATTAACAAGTACTAATGTAAAAAGTAGATATGTTCCAAGTAATGAAAGTTTTATAGATGTTGGTGGTATAAGATCAACTAAGAGAAGATAAAAAACTTGAAGTGCGACAAAAATTGAGATTGATAATGTTAATTTTTCTCCACAATCGCCTAAAATAAAATATTTTCAATTCGTTTTTTTTGCAAAAAAATGAATTATCTACTTACTAGGCAAATAGAAGACAAGAATTGTAAGAAATGCAATGTTAACACAGGGAATAACGAGATTAACTGTATAAAAAAGTGGTTTACGTCGAATAAGTAATGCAAATGTTACGTCAAAATATGGATCATCTTGACAACAATCATATAAAACAACATGACGAACAGCACCCTTTAAAAAAGAAAAGCATAATTATATATACTTATTAACATTCAATTAATTTATTATAATAAAATAAAAAGAAATTTCATCTCGCTATTCTTCTTAAAAGAGAATTATATAATCAAATCTTGCACTAAGAATACAAAATATAATATATGATTTATACATATATTAAATGACGTTTTTTATGTCAAAGTTAATGATGTATAAAAAGTAATATAATATAGTTAATAATGCCGAAAGAAATATGAGTTTAGTTATCCAAAAGGTCAAAAAGTTCTAAGAAAACAAAAACGAATAAATCAAGTAGAAGCTTAAACATATTTAATTGTACTTATTAATCTCATTAATCTATCAATAGCTAATCATAACTACATTGAGAACATTTAAGAAGTACTTGATGATAAGAAAAGAAAATGTTCAATATGATATTCTATTTCGACTACACATTAAATCAGAGTAACTAGTTAACATAACAAGAGTACTTTTCAATTGCTTAGAAAAACTAACATAGCATAGACAATACATTATTTGTCTTTATATTTATGACAGCTAGACCATTACTTATTATTAAGTGCTTTTTAAGTATCTATTAATGTTATCGGTTATAGAAATGATAGATTGAAGTCAATTATTAGTTCGAAGAAAAAGAGAACTTATTTTGAAATATATTCAGAATTAATACATTTATTTTATTCGATATATATGATTCAATTTATCATAACTAATCAAGCTTCTTAATTTCAATCCCATGAGAACTTTCAAAAAAAGAAGAAAAAAGATAGATTGGAATCTCTTGAAAATTCATATTGATTTTCTTTGAAGTATATTTTAAATCTCATGAGAATAAAATATTTTCTTTTCAAGAAATTAAATATATACTTACAGCAGAAAGAATATCCCATTCAATTGATGGATAATAATCTGTAAGATCTACTCCAACAGCAACAACAATTTGTCCCGATTTATGATTAAGATCTACCTATAATTAACATAAGAAAATTTACTTTTTTTGCAAATTTTTTATTCATATCTTACTAAATTTCCATCATGTGACCATGTACCAAATTTCAGTGTACAATTTTGTACATCAAATGGATAATATTCAATATCAATAGCACAATAAGATTTATATATAACAGGAGGATTCCATTTAATTGTACCATTCCAAAACTTAAAATAAAAATTCCGAAATGAAAATGAAAGAATTCTTTACTTACAACATGAGCTTTAGTTATTGTATTCACTTCATATGTACCATCTGCATTATTATATAAAACAATATCTGGTACCCAAATATCTGATGATGGAATTTCTACAACATCAATTCCATCATATTGACTAGGTATCCATGTTAATTTATAATCAGTCCATTCCTATAAAAATTTATTAAATAAATATCTTCGTTCTTTTTTTTGTTATTAAAAATGATTTTATACATGTTCAAGCCAAACATTTGTTGTCATGATTTGATTTCTTTCATCAATATCTGATAATTGTGATAATTTTAAACCTAATGTAACATTAACTCTTTGATTTATTGATGGAACAGGTAAAACATTTCTATTATAATCTTTCATAAGTTCATGTAATAAACGTTTAGCTTCAGGATTTCCATTAACGTCTAAACACACACGAAAAACAAAATAAATTTCGATTGTATATTTTCTTTTTCTCTTTCGAAGCAACTATAGAATTTGATCTTACCATATTTGATTAGAATTAAAAAGTTGATAATTATCGTATAGAAACAAAGCATGATATTATTTTTATACTCTTATTTCATCATATAACAATATAACTGACATTAAGTCTATGATTACCATATCCAGTAGTTAAGGCGATGAAAGACAAACTACACTTTGACGATGACGTTCTGTTTATACTGTGTATATTGTGGGACAATAAATGACGATCGATAGCATAGCATTAGTAGTTGTAGTAGAAGTAGAGCAAGAAATGGTAACAGCAACATATGGACGAAGTCATCAGGGAAATACTGAAAGGAGAAAAAAAAAGGAATAAAGAATAATTTTCTTCGTTTTTTTTTTTCATTATTATTATCTGCTTTATTACATACAACATACAAATAGTAATAAATATAGGTAAAAATAGTATAAGTAATCTATATTTAACTATTATTATATGATATATAATTTCTTTCTCTTTTTTTTTCGATAGTCCTTCTCATTTCCTCTATCTATCTCTCTCCACTTACCCAACTAGACGAAGAGAAGTTAAGTTTGTCGGAATTAAGATGCTAGTCAAATGTTAGGCACTCTCTATATATGTATATATGTGTGTGCACTCGATTGACTAATAAGGAAGATGAAGCACGCGCTCTTTCTACTATGGTTCCCAAGAGGAGCGAATCAATCGGAAACGTTAAATCAACAGTAGCATAGATGCCGAGGATCTTCGACTGTTGTTATTATTAGAGAAAAGAAAGAAAAGAAGAAATGTCGATGAAAGACAAGAATAAGAAATATAGATTCGACCTAAGGAGTATAATATATATATATATATATATATATATGACTGTATGTTTAGTTCTATTTTCTGTCTCTCTGTCTCTCCCTCTCTCTCTCTCTCTCTCTCTCTCTCTTTTTCTCTTGCGAATCTTATTGCTAAAAACTTGTCGAGATGGTGCTGATTATATGCAGAAAGATGATGACATAACATTACACTGATAGAAACAAAAGAAATAGAGTACTAATAAGCATCTATTTTCAAGTCAGTAGATATATTCTATAAATAAAATTCAAAATAAACTTTTCTTTTTTTATCCTTATCGAATATTATATTTTACAATAAAACTATTCAAAATTTGTTCTTTTGCAATAGATTCAATCGCGGTTTTTTCTCGTGTTTATAAGATTTATCTTGATAATGATTGCAAGCTGTTTCACGTGAAAATATACACATTGGTGTCTGATTATAATATGAATACAATCTACCATTTGTAGCATTTGTTCGTACTAATGAATATGGATCATGAGTTAGGAGACGACTACGAGCATCTGATAGAGCACGATCATAAGCTCTTCGAAGAATATCTCGATCAACTGAACCATTATGTGGAAATTGACGTTTTGATGGTAGAAATATTGGTGGTAGTTGTGGTTTTATTATTGAAGTTGATGATCGTAATGATATATTGGAATATGGTATAGATGAATGAAAATTTGTTTCTTTCGTATATGTTGGAGTAGAAGGTGGAGTTGTTATTTTCCTAGTACTCGCTGTTTTAATACATGGTAATACAATATGATGTATGTCTGGTCGTAGATCAGATGTTAATGAGAAATTTTCTTCTTTCTCTTGTTTGTTATTGTTGTTATTTTGATACTGTCTTGGTTGACGTTCAACTGAAGGAAGAGATTTTGGTGTTAATACTCTATTAGAATTTTTATGTGTGACTTTCGACAACATTTGTTCAGTATCATTTTGAATAAGTTTCGGTATTCCTTCTCGTTTATGTGTTAAACGCAATCGATATATTCGTGACATTTAATGTTTATGGCAATCGCAAGTTGTGTTTTGCATCCACATATACGTATAAATTCATGCATAAATATTATTAAAATAAGAAAGAAAGTAAATAATAAAAAAAACCCTGCTGATTCCATCATAAAATGCATATTTATAGTCAAGTGTCTCATTTTTCGTAATTTCTCATATATATATATTTTACTGTACACACGCGTCAAACTGTCATCGATCATGATTATAAAAAAATGCAGTAGTTGAATTATTTCATCAGTAACACTTTAAAAAAGTACTTAAATGCATATATAATCAGAATATCTTTATTATAGTGAATGTAACTTAGACAGTCTATTCAATTAGAACTAAACATAATTAATTCTTATACACAACAATAATTGCTATTCTACCCCGAAGAAACCAATATTCTATATAAAGATTAGAGTATCAATATTGTTTATTTATTTATCAATTGTAATATATTCAAGTAATTATTCTCGTAAGAATAATCTAATCAAGTTATTACTAAATAAAATGCAATATTATATATGTATATCTCTTTAATATCTAATCTTGTCTTTTATTATTTTTTTTTTCGAAAACAAAATAAATTTCATTCAAAATTTTATTTATACAAAAAAAACATAGTTAAGAATCAATCATCTAATCATTGAGTTGATATTTCATTTTCAATACACATAAACAAAAAGAAAAACATAGTGTTGTATTTTCTCACCTATTTTCTTACCAAAACAAAAAAAAAATACTATGAGAATAAAACATACTCAGTGCAGGCATAGAGACATGAAAATTAGAAAAAAAAAGAAAAGGAAAATTTAGTCAACATCTACTAAAGAAAATATGAATAGTGGCCAAAAAAAAATCTTTCTTTTATAACAAACTTTTAAAATGTAGCATAGAAATTTGTATAAAAAAAGCGAAGGAGAAAACAAAATATTTGTATATTTTAAATTTTTTCTTTTGATGGTACCCACGCATGAGTAACTGCTTCTTCATGTTCAATAACTTCACATATACGATCATAAACATCACTTAATTGTTCTTCTTCAATAGTAACTTAAAATAAGAAAACAAAAACAATTTTTTTAAAATCAAAAATAATCGATTATTATTACCTGTTAAAAGATTACCAAACTGTTGCTCAAGTTTAACTGATTTGTCTAAAAGTTGTTGAGCACGTTCTTCATTTACATCTTCTCCCATATTATCACTGATGAAAAATTAAAAAAATTATATACGAAATTTAATCTTAAATCTTACATTATCCATTTCATATCACGTGGTTTAACATGTATAACAATTGGATAAAGACCAGCTGTTATTAAACGTTTTATTGCATGACCACTTACATCCAAAATACAGTGTTTATGCTAGAAAAAAAGAAAAATGAATTTATTATTTTTTCAAAGAGATCTTGAAATGAAAACATACAGAATTAGCAATATCACGAACAGCATTAACGCTTGTACCATATAAATTTCCTCCATATTCTCCCGCTTCAATAAATAAATAATTTTGAATATCACGTTCCATTTGTTCACGTGATGAAACAAAATAATATTCACGACCATCAACTTCTTTTTCACGTTTTGGACGACTTGTATGTGGTACACAATTAGCAAATTTCTCTGGTCGATCATTAAGAAGTTGATCATTTAGAATTTCTTTAAATGGACCAAATATTATAATTGGTCTTGCATAATCAACTAAAAAATATTGTAAATATTTATTATATCATCTGGTTTTTGTCTACAAGATTTCTAATTATTATTTTATGGTTACTAATATTACAATTAGAAACATTGACTGGTTCTCGTTTTTTTTTTCTTCTTCAAGGGAATAGATAAATGTCATTAATAATACAATCAACATATTAGAATGTCGAGAACTATATACTCAAAAGACAAAATTGAATATAATAGTTTCATTAAGAATAATTAATTTTTTTATTATCCTATCCTTCTCCTGTCAATGAGAAATATTTTTAATCCAAAATATAATTCTAATCTTTATTATGAATAAATAAAAACAAAACTTACTCTCATGTTGTATAACTAATTCATATGAAAAAACAGGTTCTGTAATGTCTATTTCATTTTCTGATTCTTCGCCTGATTGTGCATCTTTTTTATCACCAGTTTTATTAAATAAACCAAATTTTTTCTTTTTCTTCTTATCTCGATCAAGTGTATTACTCTAAATTAACAAAATCGAAATATTCAAAATATTCAAAAAACAAAAAAGAGAAAACATACTCGACTATCAGTACGTTGTTGATTGAAATTAACACGTTTTTGTCTAGCACGTTCTTTTTTTTCTACACGTGTTTTTGATGGTATTATTCCAACTTCATCTTCATCACCTCCATTATTAACACGTTTTGCTTGCCACCATGAATCATCAGCTGCATTTGTTACATAAAGAATATCACCTGAATGAAATGCTAAACCAGGACCACCAGGTAAACTTGGATCTTTTGATGGATCATAATCAAATTCCGCTCTAATAAAAAAAATCAAAATTTCTCTCTTCTTGTTGTGTGTTTTATAATAAAAATTTACCGAACAAAAAATTGTCGTTTTGCTGTTGTTTTTAAACTACCTGTACTACCAGCGGTTTCACGAGTTATTTTACTAGTAGGTTCATCAGGACGACTTTCAAAACGAACAAAATCTATTGAGATTCAAAATGAAAAAAATTCTGTTTTAAGAGAAATATAAAATAACAAACCATTATATTTATGAATAACATGTAAATTAGCTGTATCACCACAATTTTTAAGCACCTTTGCAGCATCTTCATGGGAAGCGGCACGTAAATCCATATTGTTTACAGATAATATTCGATCACCTTTACGTAATTCACCTGATTTATCAGCTGCACCGCCTGATTGAATAGACGAAATAAATATGCCTTGTTCACCCTCTCCACCAATTATATGAAAACCAAAACCAGTTGGAGCACGATGAAGTAATACTCGACGTTCACTAGAACACAAGCAAAAAGGATTTTAAATATTTCTTTTTCTCTTACGGATTATCGTCAAGTTAATTAAAAAATGTTTTTCATATTTCTCTTCTATTAATAGTCATCGCTGTAGGCGTATAGCATGTCTATTATCTAAGAAAATCCTATGTCACCCTTAGTGACAAGTATTGCACATCAAATTATTACAAATTATATATCTTCTTCGGTTTTTTTTACGCACTAAAAAATAATTACTAAGTACAATGATTAGAAATCTAACTTACTCAGATGATTCTCCTTGTTGATCTTGATGTGTTACTATTTGAGCATCTGATGAATAATCCGTAGGATGACCTACAATTAAAGTTAATTTTGGACCTTCATCACATGCACGACGTATTGATTCAACAGCATGCTTATGTTCAACAAATTCAAGATCATAATTATTTTTCTAGAACAAGAAAAAAAGAATTCATTTAATAAATAAATAAAAAAATAAATTTTATTTAAGCCATACTACTGATTGCACATGCACTAAACGGTCACCAACTTTTAATCGTCCATTTCTATCGGCAATACCCCCTGGAATTATAGTTGTTATGAATATACCATGATCACTAGAAAACAAAAAATATTTTTCGATTTATATTATTTCTGAATAAAACACAAACCCTTTCACATGTTCATGACTTATTCCACCAGCAATTGAAAAACCTAAATGAACATTTGGTGGTTTTTCTAATTCAATTTCTTCCATAGCAGGTGGTTCTAAACGACGTATTATCTAAATTTATCAAAAGATTGTATTTGAATAGAAAAAAAGAAATTTAAACTTACTAAAGTAACATGATTTCCAGCTGCTTTAAGTGAATCAACTGCTAATTGATGCTCAATATGAGTAAAATCAATTTCATTAACACGTAAAATAATATCATGAAGTCTAAAATAAAAAGAATCATAATACTATTAATTATTCAAAATTGAAGATTGTACTTTAATCGATGATCACGATCAGCAAGACCACCTTCCGTAAGACGTGTAATAACAACTGCTGAAGAATCATTGATACACGGTGTATCAATACCACCAGCTATTGAAAATCCCAAACCAACACCAGGTGACTATTTTTTAATTAAAATTATATATGTACAAAACAGGGAAAATAACAAATTGTTTAAATATTTACTCTTTGTAGATCAATTTCAATTTCTCTCCAATGATCATCGTAATTAAATTGTGTTGAATCTACAGGTGAACTTAATCCTGATGTATGATGACGATTAGTGGCGATCGGTACATCGGTCGTTCGTGCAAATGGTGTTGGTGTTGCTTGTCGATTACTATTTTCTTTAATATCAGATGCCTGAGACACTGGATTATCAATTGCAAGTGATGCTATTGTTGTTAATTCATTAGTTGTAGCTGCTCCATTCTATAGAAAATAATTGTAAAAGAAGAACATACAAAAAAAAGAAAGAATTATATACTCGAATATCTCGTTTCAGCATGGGTTGTTTTTCCCATTCATCCGCTAAGTGAAGTGTTGCATTCATTTTTGCTATTCGATCACTCTGTTCATCAAGTAAGATCGATTCATAAAATTCTTGAATATCTATATGAATATACAAATAAGTATTGATTATTATTGAAAGAATTTTTAATTAATATTCTATACCCATAAGTGCTTGAAAAAGACGACTTTTGAAAATCTTAATAACTCTAAATAGAGAAAAAAAGAAAAATATTTTTGTATGTATTCAATTGAAAGAAAATTTATTTTTCTATTTAAGAAAAATTAGTGATTTATTCAACATAACCGGAAGAAAATTATTTACCTGTCAATAGCATTTTTTAATGGTTTATCTTCTGGTGAATCGAGACGATTATAATATTCTTCAAGCAATTCTAATGCTCGATAAGCATCTAATGATAGACAAATTTTAGTTTTATATTTTCTTTGATTTATAATTTACCTTGCTTACGAACTGGCATCTTGTCGAGCATAAAAATAAAAAAAAATTGAATTTACATCTAGAAAAAAAAAAGGAATAGCTTCATGAATGATGAAAAGAACGAAAAGAAAATTAAGCCGTTTTTTGATACAAAAAAATTCCGATGATTACAGAACGAAGAGAAAAAAAGGAAAGAAATTGTTCTGTTTTATTTTTCTTTTTAACCTTGAAACAATCGTTAAATGTCAAAAAAACTGAAAATGATGAGGATATAAGATCTTTAGGGAAATGTCTAAACGTCTATTAACAAAGTCAATAATGAAAGATAAAAAAAACTTGTTCGAAAAGATTTTCTGTTAATAAAGAGAAAGAGAGAAGAGAGAAGAGGAAAAAATATGCAAATGACTACTATTTATATTTGTTCTGTCCTTCACCGATTTTTTTTTCTTTACTTAAGATCTTCTGCTTTCCTCATTGATCACTTTGGTAACAAGATCATATCGAGGACAAGCGATCAAACGATAGAGAAAAGAGTAGCAGTAGTAGTAGAAGAAGAAGACGAGTCTAACTACGACATAGAAAATAAATAAATCAGTCATAGAACGACAAGAGAAAAAAAGGGAATGAAACAGAACAGAACAGAACAAATCGGACATTTTGTATAGATTGTACATATCCTCTTTATTTCATTTAAGTTATTTGTATTCGAAACAATTAATGTATTATTTTTCCTGAAGAGTATTTATTTTTAATAATACTAAAAAGGAATTTTATTGAGAAAAAAATAGATGTCACCTGACATCGAATAAAAGATAAATTAAAGAAAAGAAAAGATAAGATTATCTCAATGAAATACTTCGATTATACTTTAAATTTAACTGATATAACGATCGTAAATTAAAGTACCATTAGTCAATATGCTGATGGCAATGAAAAATTTTTTTTTTTCGTTCTTAAATATACATTATAAGTAGTACTTCTATATATTCATTACACGTCTAGGCAAAAATAGTTATATGGAAGGTTTGTATGTGATTCAGTGAACAAGTTTTATACAAAGAAAATTTTTTTTACTCATAAACAAATGAAAAAAGAATGAAGTGAATAAGAATATTTTATACCATATCAATTATTTTCTGTAAAGTAGACTCGAAAAAAGAAAACGCCCATATATAGTGTCAATAATTTGATTCTATTATTTTAATTGATATATTTGTTTATAGATCGTAAAAAAATATAAGAAAATATCGCAATAAATATTATCACTGACTTTGACTATTGATGTTAATTATACGCATGAATTATTTCTTTAGTGGAAATTCTAATTTCTATTTTCTTCATATATATATATA